ACCTCTTCTGAATAACCATGGGTCCCAGAATGTTGATACTTTGCAAGTTGCATCCTGAGATGAAAGGCTATAAAATTTGTTCAACATAATGACTTTGTTCGACTTCAATCACAGGGGTGAAATGTTTTAAAAGAAATTAACAGGATCTTTTGAATGAATTTTAATCATAAATACTGATATTTTTCCTGTAGCTTTATTTTAGATCACTTTTAAGGTTACAAGTGTGAGATTTATACCAGGTGAGCGATGCAGGCCCATTGGGCCTCTTGTTTTTTACAGCTTCAATGTTATCGGGATTCACAGAGACGCCATCTACTGTGACCAACTTTCCTAGGAACTTCACCTGTGTCTGGAACAAGCTACATTTTTTTTGGTTTCAGCTTCAGGTTTTAATGTCTAAACCTCTCTAAGACTTTTGTCGGATTACCCAGGCGTTCTTCAAAGTTTTTCCCGAGAACGAGAATGCCATCTTGGTATGCCAGATAAATGTCCCAGGAAGAGTACATGCGTACGTGAGTGGTACGGACGTACGCATGTACTCTTCGATATGTTTTATATTGCCGACATTTAGAGGATAACATCCGGTCCAGTGGGTCACGCTGGCTAGACCAGGGATACTGCAGATAAGACACAAATGTTTGCAAATATATATGAGTAAAATAAGTTAACACATACAAATTAAGCAAATAGACACAATAGATAAAGCAAGACATGCAGAAGGTTAAAAAGCAAGTTAACAGGATGTATGTACCACAAAAAGAACTCTCTTGCAGTCGGGGAAACATCTATTGGATTTTGAACGAACGGTCTTTTCGTTACTAGAACGTCTCCTGTTCATACTCCTATATGCCTAATGTCATAGCAAGTGGTCCGAGGTCAAATCAAGGTCAAATCACGATCCATATGATATCTGAGTGGGTTCATTTTTCTGATGGACATGTAACTGCTACGAAATGTGTCACGTTAAGCCTCAGTCACATGTATACTGGATCGTACGATTTCTCGATCGGGTGGCTGGTGGCAATTTGGCGGAGATGCGACCGATCGGCAATGTCTGCTACGATCTCAATTGGCGATCGCACACTGCGATTGCTCTTAAGATTAGTGATAGGTCATTGCACGACTGGTGGCACGATCTGTCGTGCGATTACCAACGTTTGGACAATCTCTATTGCAAGATCGTGCGATTAGTCCTGGCGATCAGTCGAGACTGGTCGCACTACCGATCGTGTGTTCGTACGACAGGTGGCACGACAAATCGCAAGGTGACAGGATTAATAACACGACCGACCTTGCGACTACTTGACCCACGATCACGTACGACTGGTCATGTGTCTATGCGCGACTGGTCGTTCGACCATTTAAGACATGTCTGCGACCTCTTACGACTTGGAATCGCAGATTAGAAGTTTTGAACATGATCATCGACCTTGCTGCGACTGATTTTGATCGTGCGAACACCCACAACCTCAACTTCTACCCGCACGATCTTTCTACGATTTGCCCGCGATTCCAACATTTTTCAATCGCAGCTATAGGTCGTATCCTGGTCGCAGGCCCGATGTGACTGGGGCTTTAGGGGAATTTAGTGTGTTGTTAATTGTATGCAGAGGAATAATATATGAATTAAACATTGACATTAGCGCAAGTTTTGATGTGAATATTAGTTTATGTAAATATACTTGTGTTCAAATTGATACTGTGAGTTTTTGATGTGCGGGTTTTTGGAATATAGGATATAACTAATCTGTATTTGTCCTAAGTTGACAATACCAGTTGCATGAAAAATCGATTGCCCTGAGAGTGAGTGTCTGCTAATGTGCTGGCTAGTATATGTATGTACATTTATACATTATCGACTCAATACAGGGGCGGATCCAGGATTTCCTAAAAGGGGTGCCCCCCCTAAATCCGCGCCTGCAATAGTTTACAGAAGTGTTTAAAGCTTTACATAAACATGTTGCTGGGGAAAAGACACGTGGACCACTATCAGGACCCATAGACCTGCTTGAAACATCTTTTTCTTCTGTAATGCATATTTGAATATTAATACAGTAAATATGATATTCATTTAAGAAGTAAAATAACTAAAATTCCTTTCTGTATCCAAGGGAGCAATATCGTTCGTTTTGTGGTATAAATAGTCCTAGGACTCCAGAATAATTGTATGTAGAATAGTCATAAAACACCAAACATATAGTTTTGAATAATGCTACATGCGTCTTTTTGGATTTCATTTTCGACAGCAAGTGCTAAAAATTAAGTCTAAAGCACTTAAATGTAACGGACATGTGCTATACTAGTCACAGGGACCTGATACTGTGGAACAGCTATATTTGGATCTAAACTAAATGTGTTCACAGTAATTTTACAATTTTATAAACCATCATTTGGGTGGCATATTTTTGCCGAAAATTGATATAGATCCCTGAAACGTGTATAAGTACTCTGAACACCTCAGTTTAGGTCCAAATATATAGCTGTAACCACGGACTTAGATAATCTAATTCCGTGCTGTAACGAAATATCGGGTCCCTCTGCTACTAGAATTTTTACAACTACCTGTTTCATGTAGGCTGATTGTGAAACACTTCAGATACATACTTTTTTTAATTAATAAGATTTGAATTCGGATCTGTTTGTATTGTGGTATATAGGCCTGGCCTATTCCCAATTACAAAATAAAATCTTACCATTTTTTCCTATCTTACATGAAAAAAATATTGATCGCTATATTAGTGGTTGAACACCCTAGATGAATTAGATTATATTAGTCCAATGAGTCAGCATAAAAGAGCAAATATGCTTAACCTCCAGCTAATATGACAACAGAATGTCATAGCTCTTCCGGATATTTTGACAAAAAATAGATAGGTTGTTTTTAATTTTAGAGTTGTCAGTCTGGCGGAAGTACCTGTATGAACATGGCTGCCCTTAGCAAGCATTTCACGCCTCGGAATTCGGCGTTGGTAACGGCAGCAGCTGCAGGAACATTTCTTGTCTACAAGAACATAAATGACAAACGCAATAGAGGGTATAGTTTTTATATTTAACCTGTTTTTATGATAGCAAACGTTTTATATGGCTGAAGGTTTGGTAAGTACACACGTGCAGTGATGTGTGTTAAGTCAGTTTCAAAGTCTAACTTTCACAGGTCAATAAGTGGAACGCTGCTGTCGCTGGCTTTGACAGGTCGATTCGGCCTTTCCCGTTCGCCATACCTCTGTTGGGTTGACATTTTGTATTTGTGCCAATGTTAATTTTTGAAGACTAAAAAGCAATCGTTATGTACTCCAATACCAACAGAACCTCAACCACTGAATATCTGACTTAGATATTATTATTAAAGAGTCTTATATTACCATGCAGCCTATTATATTGCCAGTATAGAAGAGTGGGACTGGGTGATACCCTTTTTATGTTTTTTGGGCCAGATACCATACATTATGACTGATTTGTCTCGCATTTACATTTCGGTCAGGATGCTTTTCTTCGTATGAACTTTGCATATGAAGAATTTGAAATAGAACTAAATATGTGGAAAATAGATGTATTGGTATAACTGTAGGGTGAACAGGAAACAGAAACTGATCATATTGATGTTCAATATATCTATTTGTATTTGCTCATTTATTATGTTAAGACGTTATCAATATACAGTACATGTTTAAATTTTTGGCTGGCAGACTACATGTAGCCAAGTAGGTCAGGTTGATAATTTCTTGGGTTTTTCAAATTTGGCCATTAGGATGGAATGGCTTGAACTGGAGTCAAGTCTGTGCCACATTAGTCAGTTATAACCCGTTGTCACTGTTTCATATTTGAAAGTTTGTCTTGAGCATAAATTTCTTGCGATTTTACCACAATATTCAGAGTTATGGTCCTTTGTTATTTTTTTTTATTAAAAGTTTGTCTTGAGCATAATTTTCTTGTGATTTGACATATGCTCACCAAACTTGCTATACTTACATGTGTGTATCTCTGTAAGGTGGAGTACAGCTTAATAAAATTGTGTCTGGCACCCAACGTTATACAGAGTTATGGCCCTTTGTTAACTTTTTTAATTCCGTAGTTTGTAATTGTCTGGAGCATATGATGCTCTATAGACTTGCTATACTTGTGCATCTTGATGAAGGTAGAGTGTGATATACTGAAATTTGGTTAACTTTTTAACTCCAAAGTTTGTCTTGACCATTAGTATAGCTTTCTTACGACTGTTCTATGAAATAGTTTGTTCATCTTGTAACATCACATACTTTTTCTATTTTAGAAAACAGGCAGATATTAAAGTGGTTATACATGAGGTAAGTATGTCTCTGGACATTATGTGTCATTTGGTTTAATTTGTTGCGTTATATTATACATCCATTTGTCTTTTGGTAATACATGTAGTGAGTTATGACAGGGGTACCTATTTCTGTGTAAGATTTACATGGGTGTACAATTCCACTAACCTGACACCTGGGTCTAGTAGATGTTATCTGGGACCGTCAGGACAAGTAAAGGTTCTCAATATTTACTAAATTGCAAAATACACTATATAGCTAAAGGTGAGCTTGTGAATTTTTCAAAAACTGCCTGCAAACCGGTACTCTCAATACTGTGTCGGAAATTTTACACCTCTGTCTTCGAGGAAAAGAAAAATTCTGAACCAGTATTGAGTAGTGAATGAAAAAGGATACAAGAGTTGTCTTTATAATCATCCTTAAGCTTGACACTCCAATGTTCAATTAGCCTCTCTGCACCCCTGGAATATGTTATAACAAAATTGAAGGCAAGCGGCTAGCTATTTGATTGGTCTCGGGTAAAACAAACCCTAACCAATCGCTATGTCTTATATACCTGTCCTTTTAAGATTACAGAGGAGCAACACCAGACTTCAAAGCCAGTACGGTTAGTTTCATCATTACATGACCGCAGGATTCTTTTGATGTACATCAAAGGATCAACCTAGTCTCCTTGTCTCATCCACAAGGTGGCAGACACCCAGCCTTCAATTTTGCTATGACATATTCCACTGGTGTAGATCCGAGAGCATAAGTGAGCGTAACCCCTTGATATCAAGGATGCTTTATAACATGAGGTATTGTTGATGTATTTTAACAGTGTAGACTACAATAAATACTTGTTTTATGTTACAGAGTGTGAGCCAAAAGAAGGAGAGGGCAGCAGTCGATGCAGTATTTTTTGGGTAAAATTATTGCTGTAAAATCTTAATATCAAAAAATTAAAATCGGTTTTCTATCTTAATATTATTTTAAATAGACAGTTTGTTTTAAGCATAATTATATACATGTATTTGAATTACTATATATCGGGGAATTTTCGCCCTGTCATATCTTCGCCCATGAAATCAAATTTCGTCCAGTGTTCAGTGTTAATTTCGCACTTCACGTCTGATTAATATGTTAATTATGTTGTTTACTTGTATTCGCTGTAATGATAAATTCGTCATCGTTATGGAGGGCCAAAAAGGCGAAAGTTTCCAGGTTCTCAGTAATTAATTTAGATTTTTTGGTGAAAGGTGTATTTAAGTCACTAGATTTTTGAATGAATTTTCAGAAACTATTTGTTTGGGATTACTGTTCCAAATTGGGTGACAGTAATAAGCGCCAATCATTCTGAAGTTAATGTCTACAACAGTTATCTGATATTTCATTTGAGTGTATCAAGATTAACTTGTTAACATTTTGTTTTGATATCTATTACAGGCGCCTAGTAAGAATTCTCAAGGTCCTCATTCCAGGATGGTTGACAGCAGAGGTAAGGCGGCTACCTCAGATAACATTAGAAAGGCACTCAGGCAGTAGGAGTTGTCTGGATAATTGGGACCTATACAGTAAAACACAGTTAAACATTTTAACTAGTGATTTTGAAAAAATTACCCCTATATTCTACATAATGATACAATGGACATTGTAATATGTCTGTTCCTGCACTGTAAAAACATATGGGTACATAAATCAGCGAGACTATTAATTTTCATTTTTTAAACAAGTATACTGTACATACATGATGCATACATATCCCACTATATCTCTGAAGGGCCTGAATGGGACTGCAATTTGTTTTATCTTCTGTTTTACCTTATTGTATAAACCAACAAAAAGATTTTTTTTTTCTCTCACTTATATACAGGGTTGCCAACCTCTTAAAAGTCCAGTGTGGGAGATCTCCCTCCACTGGGTTTTCACATAATACAGGCGACTTAACATTACTTTGTTACATACAGCAAGAAATCACACTAAACCTGTGTACAGTAGGTACACTTTACTGTACATTGTATCACTGCTTTTTACGCTCTCAGTTTGTAACTGCCTGTCTTACATAGAAATAAGAAATTTGTTTGGCTTGCTGTACAAGTAGTTTACAAAATGTGTTTTGATACGTGGGATTTACATGCTTTGATTTGATGATTTGATGTTTATGCTGTACAGGCCTGGTATATGTTCCTGGTGGCTGCCGCACTGATCGCCCGGACGTTCGCCGACGTTTGGATGATACAGAACGGCACATCTATAGAAAGGTATACCACTACATTGACTGTTGGATAGATCATTTCTTGTTTAACTCATTCACCCCTGAAGACGCATTTGAACTCTTCCAATTCAAAAGCTGGAATATTTCATTATGAAATTTCAGGGGTGACAGAGTTAATATGACTGTTACATTACCAGGTATATATGTTTGTACTCTAATACATTGAGTTGTCATTGACTGTCAGATATCGTTTCTTTTGTGAAGTGACTATAATTTCAGCAGAATTTATTAGTTAAGATTTAAAAAAGTCTTAAAATTATGGATACTCTTGTGACCTATTCTTTTACCCTTTTCGAAAGCACGAATTTCTCTCTGGAATTATCAACATACCGGTAAAGCCTTTTTATATACGGACAGCAGCTAGGACACTAATTGGTTTCTGTAAGCCATTGATGATCCTGCCATGAACAAGTGATCTCCCTTGATAATGATTTATTTTTCTTTCTGTGAATTTGAATTTGTTTTTGAGCGATACAGTTTAAGTATAATTATAGTACTGATAAAAGCATGTCCTTAATATGGTATAAGTGCCTACGGGTCATCTGTAATTGTTACCTCTTACCTGATGGACTGATGGAGTGACGTCATAACTATCGGCATTGGAAAGCACGCAAATTTAGCACAGGGAATTTTCAAACACCAAAATTTGATGCACAACATTTAACAACCATCCCATTTTGAGCAAAAAATGCCAAGTTTCGGCAATGCCAAAATATACCATAGTACGAGGCTATGATGTCGGTAGGGAGAAGCATATTTGTATGATGATGAAACATAAATGTATAAAAATACATATCTGTATGATGGTTAAATACATGCTGTCTTTGAATCTGTTAATAGTGATTGGTTATTATCTCGTAAAACCGTTGCTATTTTAGTGCTATCATTGGTCGGGATGTGGAGTTGTTCAAGAAGTATCTCTTCAAATTTATATATGCCATGCCTCTGGTGAGTTTTTTAACCTATTTTCATTTATCTTAAACAACTGTGGCCTTTAACTTAAATGATATACACATGTAGCAATGGTTATTTTGATTTTTTTAAATTTGGTTTTGTGTCTTTACACTTAACAAATACCCAAGTCAAATGACTGAGGTTTCAGCTTTTCCGTTTATTCAGACAGCTTCATCACCCCCAAAAAATAAGATACAGACAATTTTATGTTTATTCATTGTTGTGTTGTGCTATGAAAAAAATACTAAATTGTGATTTAAATGGTCAACTTCATGATCAGGCAATTTAAAATACAAAGTATATTAATGCACAAATTCAGATTTGATATTACCAGGTCAATTTGGTGCGATCGAAAATTTTGTCTGACTGGTTTTTTGTTTTTTTTTACAGATTTCATGTACCAATAATGCTTTGAAGGTAAGTTGAAACTTGTTTTATGAACTATTAAAAGTTTGCTAAGTTATCTGATGCGTTGACATGTTATGTTATACTTAAAATATTCTGAACAAAAATACAGGTGCCTAAATGAGTGTATTAATAAAAACAAACCTACTGATAATGAATTACCCACCGTAAATAAAATTACTTGAATGACAATTAAGAAAAATAAATTTAATTTTAGATGACAAAACATCAGTCATTTCAATGGCTGTGAATTTATAAACTAAATTGAATTCTTAATCATGGGACAAATTATTTCACATTAGCTGCATTTTAAAGACTGTGATCAAGAAAGAAAAAGTGATCAGTTCTGTATATTTTGGATTTCGAATGCAGCCAAGGTTAGAGCTTTGTGTTCATTGATTAAAACAAAAACTTGTACTTGTTGTTTTATTCCTTATTTTTCCTTTGTTACAGTATGGGTTGAATGAGTTGAAGCTGAGATTCCGCACCAGATTGACTGAACATCTCTATCGAAAATATCTACAGTGAGTGAAAAAACAACAGACCTCACATTCGTTGAAAAAAATATATCAATAATAGTATTCCTCACATACAATTAAAATACCATTAAAAGGGCGAGCCTAACATTCCATTAAAATACCATTAAAAGAGCAAGCCTCACATTCCATTAAAATACCATTAAAAGGGCAAGCTTAACGTTCAGACTTCCATTAAATTAACATTAAAAGGGCAAGCTTTACATTCCATTAAAATCACATTAAAACAGATAATCTGGCTGGATTAGATAAAGATTTGTATTGGACAGAGTCCAGTTTATATGGAGTCGACTCTAAAGTGATAGCATTTTCTCCAATAGCAATATTATTGTAATAGATATTGGCCCAATAGTTACCTCAAATATATGAAGATGGACATTAAGAGCAGGAGATGCTAGGACATACATTTTCATTTTCTAAGAAAAGTAATTGGAATGTAATTAATATGTAGATTCCGCACTAGGTTTCTTTTTCTTGCATGGTTGCCGAGTCAATGTAAACTGCCCGGTTTCTATCTGTTAATGTCCTGATGTACAGATACCTAATTTTAAAGAGATATACACTTCAGTTCACTTTTCCTGCTCATTGTCAGTACTTAAGTTTTACCATTATATAAAAATGGCTAAATTGTATCTGGAATTCAAATGACTGACCCAGCATGTGATTTTGCCCACAGAGGTTTTACGTATTACAAGATGTGTAACCTAGACAACCGGATCTCCAATCCCGACCAGCTGCTCACTCAAGACGTGGAAAAGTTCTGTGACTCTGTGGCTGAGCTCTACTCAAACCTCAGCAAGGTATTAAAACCGCATCATAATGTGGAACTGAAAAAAAATCCTACAACACAACCCTAAATTTGTTCACAATTCTTGGCCAAAGAGCATTTTTTGCTCACCTGGCACGAAGTGCCAAGTGAGCTTATGCCGTGGCGCGGCGTCTGTCGTCCGTCCAGCCGGCGTCCGCCCGTCTGTCGAGCGTCCGGCGTCAATATTTTACTTTAAACGACTTTCTTAATAACCGAAAGGCCTAGGGTGATGATATTTGGCCAGAAGAAAACTGGGATGAAGGGCTACAAAGTTTGTTAAAATTAATGACCTTCACGTGTTTTCAAGGTCACCGGGGTCAAATATGTTAAAAACTTTAAACATCTTCTTCTCGATAACCAAACTGCCCAGGGAGATGATATTTGGCCAGTAGCATGCTTGGGGAAAGGGCTACAAAGTTTGTTCAAATGACTGACCTTCACCCATATTCAAGGTCACAGCGGTCAAATATGTTAAAAACTTTGAACAACTTCTCAATAACCAAAATGCCCAGGGTAATGGTATTTGGCCAGTAGCATGCTTAGATAAAAGGCTACAAAGTTTGTTCAAATAAATGACCTTCACCCATATTCAAGGTCACAGGGGTCAAATATGTTAAAAACTTTAAACAACTTCTTCTGAATAACCAAAATGCCCAGGGTGATGATATTTAGTCAGTAGCATACTAGGATCAAGGGCTACCAAGTTTGTTTAAATGGATGACCTTGAATCATATTCAAGGTCACAAGGAGCAAATATGTTCAAAATATTTAAACAACTTGTTCTGAATAACCAAAAGGCTCAGGATGTTGATATTTAGTCAGTAGCATGCTGGGATCAAGGACTACTATGTTTGTTAAAGTGAATGACTTTGACTCATATTCAAGGTCACAGGGGTCAAATTTGTTTAAAATCTTTAAACGACCTCTTCTGAATAACCATGGGTCCCAGGATGTTGATACTTTGCAAGTTGCATCCTGAGATGAAAGGCTATAAAATTTGTTAAACATAATGACTTTGTTCGACTTTTAATCACAGGGGTGAAATGTTTTAAAAAAAAATAACAGGTTCTTTTGAATGAATTTTAATCATAAATACTGATATTTTGCCTGTAGCTTTACTTTAGATCACTTTTAAGGCTACAAGTGTGAGATTTATACCAGGTGAGCGATGCAGGCCCATTGGGCCTCTTGTTTTAAGTTGAGTGCAATCTGTTAGGTTTGTGTGTGGAAGGAAATTTAGTCTTTTATTTTCATTGATGATTAAAAGTTTTGGAGATATGTTTTGGTGAGTCGAAGACAAGGATTTTGAAATTTCTTATAGTTAAATAACAAGAAATGCTCCGTGATAATTGGGTTGTGTTAGAAAACAAGTTTGGTCCCATTGAAAAAGGGTTAGTCAGGACCTGAACATTTTGCTTTGTAAACATTTAGAATAAAACCTGTTTATTCTGACTGCTTTACCAAGTAGGAGATCCAGCCTCAGTAGAAGGAGTTAAGTGTGGTTCAGGCCTTACAAATTTGAGCCGTTGATCACAAAGACAAGGACAAGCTTGGTTTTACAGCATTAATCTGAGGTTTACTGGTTCTTTTGATGGACACTTCTTATGTGTCAAAACTACCGGTAGTCACCTGTTGAAAGATGTGAAACCCAGCTTGTTGTTGTTAGGGTCATCTTTTCTGATTGATATTGTATTTTCTAGTTTATCAGACCATAGGTATGGATACTTTAATGACATAAATGTTTTTTTTGTTATAGCCTATTCTGGACGTCATCTTATACTCTGTCAAATTAACTGGAAGTATAGGAATTCAGGTAAATATTGCATGTCTGATGAATATTTGTCTACTGTATGAGGTATAGTTTTGAAAGTGACATTATTACTTAAAATTAACTATAATTTTGTTCAATTTATTAATGTCATTTATTTCTCTTTACTTAATATTTTTTTTAACTATTCTTTATATTTCTGTTTTAAGTTGTTTTATCGACCTTGACATGATAGACAAAGGTGAGCTCATTTCCGGATACAATTTGGGACAAGGTCCTGATCTGAATACAAATGTCGGATATTTCATGCTGATGAGTCTGTATTGTGTTTCAGGGACCTGCTAAGATGTTGGCCTACCTGGCCGTGTCCGGTCTAATACTTACCAGGTATGTGGAAAGCTTTGAACCAATGTGTTGAATTCAGGTGGACCATTTTGGAATTAAAGAACTGATTACATGAATAAATGTTATAAGTTTTCGAGAATTGGTGATCCCATTTTTTTTTTTTATTGCAAATCAGTATGTTTTGACAAAAAGGAAACTAATAATATATTTTTTTTGTGAGAAGAATTGTCTCTGCATTTTATAAAAGGTAGTAGTCAACGACAATTGTCTCGGGAGAACATTTTTTATCTCGGTGTAATGTACCTTTGATAGGTTGAGGAGACCTGTTGGAAAACTGACTGTTGTAGAGCAGAGATTGGAAGGAGAATACAGATACGTCAACTCTAGACTCATCACTAATAGGTAAGATGTGTGAGACAATTCATTAACAGGTGAGAAAAAGTTATCACTAACAGGTGAAAGTGTGAGAAAATTCATCACTTACAGGTGAGAAAAAGTTATCACTAACAGGTGAAAGTTTGGGAAAATTCATCACTAACAGGTAAGATGTGTGAGACAATTCATTAACAGGTGAGAAAAGGTTATCACTAACAGGTGAAAGTGTGGGAAAATTCATGAACAGATGAGAAGTTTGGGGAAATTCATCACTTACAAGTGAGAAGATTCATCTCTTATAGGTGAGAAGTGTGAAAAAAATCATTAACCGGTGAGAAAATTAATCACAAACGTATGGGAAATGTGAGAATTCATCACTAAAATGCACAGGTGAGAAGGCAACTAACAAGCAAGAAGTGTGAGGAAGAATCTACTCTAAATAATTTCAACACCTGTTTCAGTCCAAACTTTTTTGTCCATAAAGTTGACAGAAAATCTGATTGTTACTTCAGAAAATTTCAAAGCAAATCAGGAAAACTATCCTCAAGATGGTTATTGATGAAAAATAATGATTAATACCAGCTAGAGAAACTACTAACTACTGTTTCTTTACAGCTGAAAGGGAAGGACGGAGGTTGACTTCAATGTTTTGTGTTTGTTATTATACATAATCTAATACAATTTTGTTGTTTCATTTTGCAGTGAAGAAATAGCCTTTTATCAAGGAAACAATAGAGAAAAATACATTATATTGGCAACTTTCCAAAAACTGGTAAGTTTGATGAATAAATAGTTAATTGAGTTCATTTTGTATTTCATAATTACAGCACAGACATAGACTAAATACTGACAGCGCAAGTCAAATACCTCCACAGTGCTATACAAAAGTGGAACTATTCCTGATATTACCTCAGTGAGACAATGTATAGCACAGTGAATATTAAAACTACTGGTGCTTTGATAAGATAATATAAAGAACAGCAAGTCGCTTCCGTTTCATTATCCTGTTCAGTTTTTTGGGAAAGCAAAACAACTAATAACATTCTACTTCATCAAGTTCTACCAGTTATTTTGAAGTTTTCTATATACATAAGCTAAAACTTGTCAATATTGATTGTCGACATCGTGTTTATAAGGTAAGATGTGCTGTGTTCACAGGTGAACCATTTACGTCAATTCATTGGGTTCAGACTACAGATGGGGTTTGTTGACAACATCGTGGCAAAATGTAAGTAAACTGTTTTTTATCAATACATGTATTTAAAAAGACAACATAGTGCTTACCAAGCTAACATTTCTAGGGCACTTTTACTATAAATAGACCACAGGTAGTACGGTCAGGCACATGGTGGGGCCCTTGCTGACCTGTCAGTGTTTTGATTCCTCAAATCAAGTGATCAGTCTGTTACTTTAATATACCAGCAAAGTTCTGTAATAGATAAACAAATTATGCTATGGGGGGAAAAAAACCACAATTTGAAACTCAATATGACGCTATACATACTTGTTACGTAAAATACTGTTTGTTATATATGTGTGATATACAATATTTATAGCCAAAAAAAAATAATGTATTTTTGAGTACTTTTCCTTTAAATTGATTGCACAGTTGCTGAATATGGTAGAAATATATATATATTATACTTAAAGTGTGTTTGAAATTCATGATTCAATACTGCATAACAGAATTGGTGTTGACTGTCTGGTTTCTTTAATTGTTTGTAGAAAATGTCAGAAAAATTTACATATTTTGAGTGTTGGGTTTAGGAATGAGAAACATTGATATCATATATAGAATATGTGTTTGTAGACGTAGCGACAGTGGTGGGATATCTGGTCGTAAGCCGTCCATTCCTTGACATGACTAGCACTCGTCACCTGAGGTTCACACACAGCGAGATGCTGGAGGTAAGGTCTAAATTTGCTGGAAAATTAGGATTCTGGGGTTCGTTTCTTCCTGTCAAAGATGCTAGTTGTAAAGCAAAGTGTTTACAAAAATGCCAGTCTTTATAGTGAGAGCAATTTTGTATTTCACATTTCCCTTACACGCCTACAAATTGGATTCTATTACATAATGCTAATCTGCTTATTACACAAATATATCAGACCAGAGAAGAAAAAAATAATACAGTGCTTACTATTTTCTGATTATAATGAAGATAGTACTACCGGTACACACAATTCACAGATGATAATTACTAGATAATGAAGTGTTAGGAAATGACCAATACAATCCATGCTTTTGATTGGCTAAGCAATTTCCAAACTGAACTCATTGTTTTAAGATCTTTTCTTTTGTCTAAATGGCAGGAGGCAGTTAAAAACTGTGGGTGTATATCAGATTTACAGATCCACCTTGTTGTGCAGAAATTAAATGTCTGAATTCCTTTTGAGGCACAGTAGATCATCCACAGGTTTATTCCAACAACCTGTCGTTTTTAGGGCCTTCTGCTTATTAATTAGTTATCCGTTATTCGCTACTACATATGATCAGATATAAGTTAAACTGAGCTTCTTTTTTTTGAGTTAAATGGAGCAGTTAAAATGATTTTTAAGATTGAAAATCATGTAAAGATTTCAGGTTCCTTACGTAGGTGGACTAGGCTGATGAGTTGTTAATTATAGTTTGGACTTTCACTCAGATGACAGGGGACATATCCCCAAAGTCATCAGATCATTGAATTTTCAGGGAAAGTGTTTTCTACTGTCCACACAACTACAATAACCAAGGCAGGGAGCAAAACAGACCCACCTATACATCCCTAGCACACACACACAGGCACACACACACACAGGCACACACACAGGCACAGGCACACACACACACAGGCACACACAGACACAGGCACACACACACAGGCACACACACACCCAGGCACAGGCACACACAGACACAGGCACACACACACACAGACACACGCACACACAGACACACACAGACACAGGCACAGGCACACACAGCCACAGGCACACACAGACACACACAGACACAGGCACAGGCATACACAGACACAGGCACACACAGGCACACACAGACAAAGGCACAGGCACACACAGACACAGACACACACAGGCACACACAGACACAGGCACAGGCACACGCAGACACACACAGACCCAGGCCCAGGCACACACAGACACAGGCACAGGCACACACAGACACAGGCACACACAGGCACAGGCACACACAGACACAGGCACAGGCACACGCAGACACACACAGACCCAGGCACAGGCACACACAGACACAGGCACAGGCACACACAGAC